AATTACTTTGTAAGACTAGTTTTTTTTTTTAATAAATATTTTGACCTTAAAATCTATCAATTTGCTAAATTAAATTAATTCACCCATTTTATTTATAAATAGAACTAGGGAACTAGGGATCTCCCCGGGCTTCGCAAGGAGGATATCTGAAACTCAAGTACATTTAAAATGGTTGGTATTAGTGATTGGAACTGACACTTGTAGGTACTTTAAATTTCCGAATTCATTTCTGAATCTCTTTGAAATTCATCTTTGTTTGAAGTGACGCGGTTACTACGGTTTAAATAACTCATTACGATCAGTTTGGAATAGTTGAGGATTTTATTAAAGTTTCTGAAGGGACTAATAGAAATTCAAACAAATTCCTTAGTCTGTTTGATACATGGATGCTTTTAAGCTAATTGCCATTTCACATAAATTTCACCTTTATTCTGCCCTGGTCTTGTAGATCAAAGAAATTTCACTTAGTTTCTAATTCATTTTTATAACTCTAATTATTGTGCTTTTTTATTGTAGTTACATTGAGGTCAATTAAATAAAGCTATTGCTTCTTATATATAGAATATTTCAAAAATAAACTTTTTCGAAGGGTTGGTTTATCTCTTTGTGTAATCAGAATTTGTTCTGTGCACAAAAACAATAATCTAACATCATCATTTATGGAAAGAATTCTACATTTTCATAAATGTTTTAAAAAAACTAACACGATAAACGATTAACGGAAAAACGGTAAACGAGAACGGGCAAAAAGGCCCAACCCTAGGGAGTAGTTGCCGGACAACTTGGCCGAACACTATTAGTCCCTTTAAATTTTCTATCGGAGTCCGAATGGTTACTATCTATATTTGACAGAAGAAAGTTTCTCATTACACTATTTTTAGGTTTGTTTAGTAATACGTCATTCTAGGTTTTCTGAAGAATTGAGGTCCATTCCATTCATAAGGATTTATACAGATAAAATTAAATAGTACAAAATAGTATTTTTACCATGTTGTGGCGGTGTAAGAATATCCAGCGGTGAATAAAAAATTATCTTTAATAAGTATTATGTAACGATATTGAATAAAAATTATTCATAATGATTTCTTATGACCATGGGTGCTGTAAAGCTCTCGAAACGTCGGGTAATTAAAAAGTTAAAAATACGCGATAAATTCCGTAAAAACTAGTATTATTTCAAAAATTATTCATTTCATTTAAATTAATAAGTTCGTCATGAAAAAGAAATTATCAAGCATACAGCTCACCTGATGGTAAGTGGATACTGCGACATCTATTCTCGATTGCCTTATCCCCGCTAATGACTAAATCCTCCTTACCATTTAAAATAGTTTCCGACTCTCGGCTATCACTACGAAACACGACAACATTATAGCTGCTATTTAACGTTAGTAAGATGTGCAAGCATGATCTTTTCCCGGTCGAGCCACAATATTCGTGCTGCAGCCATAATATGCTTCAGCGTAGTTTCACAAAAAATATTGTTTTTTTTATGTTACACTTAAAAAGAAGCTTTTAATATAGAAATGAAAGAATTTTAGCGGGTAAAGCACAATGTTTAACAATTGTTATGCCAAGATACGAAACTCTTTATAACTACATTATGTATCAGAAAGTAACAGTTTTGTATTGCTTATGAACATGTGTATATTTATAATAAAATAACCGTCTGTTATTACGATAATAATTGAACAATCAAACGAGCTTACCTGTAAGCGAAGTTCGATTGAGATTATACCTTGATGTCTCTCCGAAGACGATGGAAATAATACTATACGTTAGTATCGCTTCTTATCTCGGTGGCGTTACATAAGTTAAAAGTAACTTTAAAATTTCTGAACGCATCCTCTAGTTGCACCTCATTCGCGCCTCAATCTGTCAACTCATTTTAGTTTAAAGCATAAGTCTGATTCTATTTGGGACTGAGCCTGGTCTCATAGGGGATGGGTGGGTTCCATCGTCTTCGGAGAGACAACAAGGTATAATCTCAATCGAACTTCGCTTACAGGTAAGCTCGTTTGATTGTTCAATTATAGCCTTGTTGTCTCTCCTCGACGATGGAAATAATACTATATGTTAGATGTTCAAAGTCTCAGAACAGAATCAGACTTTAATTATAATTAAATTGTAACAATAAAGGTTAAGAAGTTTTTTTTTTAATAATTATTATAATTACAATTAGTCATCAATATTAATATTTTTAAAAACAGCATTAGCATAAATTGTGTCCTTATTGTTCAAAATAGGACGATTATAGAATCTAGCAAAACAAATTGAATTTTCGGTCCAACCAGCTGATTTTCTTATAATATCTATTGATACACCCGTATGGAATGCTGCTGAAGTAGAAGCATGCCTTGTGCTATGAGCAGAAAAAATGTTCACATCCATACCACTTTCTTTTAAAATGTCTTTTATCCATCTGCTGATTGTACTTACTGATACCCCTCTATAGGGTTTCTTAAATGAAATAAATACATTTTTTATGTTGCCTCTTATTTGTTCAGTTAACTTCAAATAATTAATCACTGCTCTAGCAGGACAAACATTAGGTTTTAAATCAAAAAAAGGTAATACAAGCAATGGCTGCTGTCTGTAGGGGCCTGATGTCTTTAACAATTTGGAGATTGTAATACAAATTTTGTCATTCTCTATTTTTATTTTGTCAATTTCCACTGATGCTAAGGTTTGTGCTCTTTGTCCTGTTGCTAGAGCAAACAGCATTGCTGTTTTCTTTGTTTGGAATTTTACATCCTTTGTATCCATCTGATGAAGCTCAAGGTAATTGAACACTTCTGATACATTCCAAGTGAATTGATATTTGGGATTATTTGGTCTCAACCTATAGAACCCTTTAAATAATCTTTTTATTTGATCATTTATTCCAATATGAGAACCTATCAATAACGACAAGGCTGATCTTATGGAGTTAAGGCTTCCATAAGACATACCTTCATCAAATTTTACTGTGAGATAAGTTATAATTTGTGAAATATTGGCAGTATTTGTACTAATATTGTTAGATGAACAGTATATAAGCCAGTCCCTGAGGTAAGGTAAGTACTGCCTAAGTGTATTTTCTGATACTGAATTCAACATAATGTTGGTGGCTTCCTCACCAATGCCTGTGCTTAAAAATTTCTGGCGGAGAGCAGACCTGCCATCAAAGATAGGTTCTTGTGAAGAGAGTGCGGTGATCTGTAATTACACAGGGTAAGTAATTTTTTATTGGGTTGGAAAACAATAAAATCATTTACCAACAATTTTTTAAACAGTGGGAACCAGGGCTGCGTTGACCAGTAAGGTACAACAACTATGCCTTCCGCCTTGTCTAAAATTATTTTTTTCTAAAGTTTTTAATACTAGTGAAAATGGTGGAAAAGCGTAGAAGAAAAATTGGGACCAACATAATGTAAAAGCATCTACATTGATTGCATTAGGGTCTGGGTGCCACGACACATATTTTTTGCACTTAGCATTTGTTCGAGATGCAAACAAATCTATTTCAGGTGTACCGAAGGTTTGCACTATTTTCCTATAATACATCTGCCCTAGCTCCCACTCAGTGTGGCCAATATTCTTCCTTGATTGAAAATCAGCAGTGACATTATCTTTAGTGTTAATATATGATGCAAAAATCCAGAGGTTACTATCTTCACACCATTGCCAAATTTGCCTAGCAATATCATACAAGTGGGGGTATTGTATACCACCTAGCCTGTTTATATAAGCTATTGCAGTAGTATTATCTATTCGTAACAATATTTCAATATTTTTTAGATTCTTTGTGAAACTCTTTAGCCCGAAGAAAGCAGCTTTTAATTCTAACGTACTGATATGTAATTTTGATTCTTGTTCTGTCCAGGGCCCACTAGCTGTCTGTCCAGCACATGAGGCACCCCAACCCGTGTTGGAAGCATCAGTGTGTATTTCTAAAACAAAATCACTCTTTCTTATTGGGCTTGTAGAATATTTAACTTTTTCAGCCCACCATTTCAAATCCTGTTTGCAATGGTTAGGTAGTGAAATTTGTGCCTCATAATTATTATTATATTTTAAAAGTGATAAGTATTTATGTCGCTCAAGCAATTTTGTATATAACATACCATATTTAATTGCTGGACAAACAGATACTAGTGTTCCTAACACCTGAGCTAAAAATCTTATAGAAAATAATGGTTTCCTACTTAATTTTTTGATCAAGCGAAGGCAATTTTCTCTTTTTTCTCTTGTTATAGAAATAGACATGTTTTCTGAATTGAAAACTAGTCCTAAGAATTTGCACTGGTGTGAGGGGGGTGAGACTACACTTATTAATATTGACTATAAATCCTAAATTAGTAAATAATTTTAGAGTTAACTGTATCTTTTCAACACATTCATTGTAATTACTACAAATAAGTATATAGTCATCTAAATATTGAACCAGGCGTAACCCATCTTCTCTTAACCTGGCATTGATTGGTTTTAAAATCTTTGTAAAAACATAAGGTGCTGTACAAAGGCCGAAGGGGAGTACATTAAACTGATAGAGTTTGTTGTTAAAATAAAAACGTAGGTATTTCCTATGATCTAACTTAATACTTATCATATAATATGCATCCTTAATATCTATTTGTTAATTAATTTTAACACTGTACGATAGTCCTCTAATTTGAAATGATCCATTCTAACAAATTTATTGAGTTCCTTTAGATTTAAAATAAATCTAAAGTCCCCGTTTGGTTTTCTAACTAAAAATATTGGTGAACAGAATTGGTCATGCACTGGTTCACAAGTCTCTATAGCCTGTATAGACAACAACTTATTAATTTCTATTTTTAATTGACTTAACTCAGTTAATGAAAAATTATTATTTAAGGGAAAATTATTTTGTATAGGTATGTGTTCAAATGGAATTGAATATCCCTTAACCCAATTGAGTATGACAGGTTCATTAGTCAATCTTTGCCAATTATTTATATAATATTGCAGTCTTCCTACCTGTGGTGTAGGAACCTCTAATATCGTCGAGGAGGCAGTGGTTTCTGTTGTTGTTGCTGCTGCTTGGTTTTGGGCTTGGTTACTCTCTTCCCCCCCAGCCTGGTGCTCAACTGAGGAGGGCCCCGCCAGTTTAAAGTCTTTGTTGGCCCCTTAAGTCGCTCCTGTTTTTCTTTCAGATCTTTTCCAGATCTCTGTATAATTTTTGCATTCTTTATTCTTTCTGCTAAATTTGTTCCGAATAAGAACATATCTGAGTCCCCCTTTAGAGTCTCTTTAAGGTTGTGATTAACTGCATTAGTAATTAAAATTTTTCTATTATTGGTCTCAGATTGAAAATAATCACATAATAGTTTGGATGCATCATTTATGTTACGGATTATTTCTATTTTGTCTCCGTTCTTTAATATGGACTCTAAACCAGAGCCAATAGCAGTCAATACTGCAGCTATTTGTTTTTGTTTTTCTTTAATAATTGTATCCCCTTTCAGCATAGATGCTGAAATTGCTGAGATACATTCAGGGTTCAAAGTTGGTGCTATTAAACGTGGCACATTTTCGAATGGCATATATTTTTGCATAAGCTCTCTCTTGTCTTCCTTTTTTTAGGCCTTTGCTCAGAATGGGTGTCCATCTGTTTGCAATTTCAGGGTGAAGAGGTGGACCTTTTTCTTGCTCTATGTTTATTTCACCCAGAACTGCTAATGCCTCAGCATCCAAATCCTGTACCTCTGGAACTTTATCAGGCTGATTTCCTGATTCGCTAGTAGAGGCCTGGCTATTTAGGTTTCCCAGAATCTGCAATTCCGATTGAGGTGATTCAGATTCCTCAGGTTTTTCTCTTTCTATTAAGATATCATTTTCCATTTCTTCTGGCCAAGATACCTCTGAATCGGATTCAGATGTCACTGTTAAGAAACAGAACATAAATTACCTTAATGTATATACATTCTTTATGAAAATTTAGGGGCCATGTCTAATATTAGGCTTTATGTATGTTTTATGGTTCTAGGCTCTGCAGCCGTAGCAACCTGATATTGATTTTAGGGTGACCATGGGTTCTAGGCTCTGCAACCGTAGCAACCAATGGCATAATGTAAAATCTTTTTGTTTTTGTAGATCTAGGCTCTACAGCCGTAGCAACTACAATAGCTTGGTCCCATAAGATTATATATGGTCCTATGCTCTACAGCAATAGCTACCAATGAATTACACACTTAAAAAAATTAATTTGGTTACTTCTTATAATGCAACCTGTTTAATAGACCAACTCAAATATATATTCTATAGATAGGTTCATATTTATTATTATATTACTTCCAACAATTCTATTTTAAATGAGATGAGGTATAATATTGTTCAATGTATTAAACGGACTTCCTGCTCGGAGAGGTGAAAACACAATAAACAATAAAACAAAACAAAATGGCGTTGTAATGCGTTATACGTCTTAATGGAGAACAGGTAGTGACAAGTTAGTACCTATTTCGTCTCGGCTGATTTTAGTAGGAAACCACGTTAATAATAATGATTGTATGTCTAGGTATTATTTGATAATGCTACGGGTTAACACAGTTTTAAATTATGCAATAATAAGCTACTTACGGCCCTGCTGTTTTGAAAGTTTTTTAACTTTTTTTCATAAGTTTTCTTATTTTCTTTTTTTATCTTGTCGTCACTTCTATCTTTGTCACGTTTTCTTTTCATTTTAAAAAGTAATTAAAGGAAAATACCCGAACTAAAAAACTTAATTCGCTGCTGAATGTTTTAATACGTAGTAACGCCGTCCGACATAAAAACCGAATGAGTTGACAGATTGAGGCGCGAATGAGGTGCAACTAGAGGATGCGTTCAGAAATTTTAAAGTTACTTTTAACTTATGTAACGCCACCGAGATAAGAAGCGATACTAACGTATAGTATTATTTCCATCGTCGAGGAGAGACAACAAGGCTATAATATCGTAGTCATGATCATTACCCATATTCTTTAAGAATTTGTTCTTATTTCTTGCTCTTTAAGAGTCCTTATTCTTTAAGAGTTTGCACTCCATTCCAAGTCTGATGATAAATTTTTTATATATATATATATACGAGGGAGCAAACGAGCATGCGACTCAACTGACGGTACTACCCATACAGGCTACCGCCACTTTTTTTATAAAGAGTAGGCTCTTTTCTTGAAAGTCTCTTTAGTTATATCCGACCTGAAAAATCTTAAAAAAAGTTTAAGAAAAGTTGTGTGAGAAGAAAAATATATTGTAAACCGCTTAGTGGTGAACCACCAATCATCCAGATTAGAAAAAAAATTGTGAAATTGAGCGGTTGGAACTAGTCCGAACGATTCATCTGAATACTCCCCGTACTACGCAAGACTACGCAAAGACATGCAACATCCGTTCGCAGCGCCAGTAAATTACCAAGACAGTGGCATTTGCTTACAGCAACAAGAGTTCTGCCTTGTGGTACCCGTGACTACAGGATGATACGTCAATATTGTGAATGCCAACTCATAATAGTGATGCCAGTGATGTAGCTCTTGGTTTTAATTACTTAAGTAATTACAATATATATACAATATATCGTTATCATTCTTTCTTTGTCGCACTATTATCATCAACGTTTACTCGTTTTCTAAAAGAAGTAAGTTAGTAAATAAATTAATAAATGATAATCGATCATAGCTTTACTACAGCAAAAGAGATTTAAATCTACTTAAATGTCTTTGATTACAGCTAAGAAATGGTGGAGGTACGGCGATTTCCTTTCGCTATTAAAAATGTTACTGAAGAGGAAGACGCATTAACAAAAAAATATTACAAAGGTAATAAGCAATAAAACTAAGCAGTAATATTTTAATTAACATTGTAATTTATATATTCCTTAAATTTTATAAAATATAATTATTACGGTGACTTATAACGATTTTCTGAAGGCTCTCAATTCGAATGTAATTCTAGATTACGCATTTTTTTAATTTTGATCCAATGTCAGTGATTTTAGTATTTTGTAGTTGAAACCATCGAAACTTATTTTTTCACCCTTAGTAAAGTGTGTAAGTGTGTGTAGTTAAGTGTGTAAGATAGTTAAAGTCATAATTATAGTTTAAAAAGAAGAATGCAATTTTTAAGTGTAATAACTATGTGACATTCTGGGTTCTAAGGCAAGGTGTATAAAATAATGAACCAGTATGTGGAATTCTTCTTATTCTCTTACTTTTTAAAGGAAATGCATTTATTTGCTTTAGTATTTTTGAAAGAAAATGAAAAAATGAAAAATGTTACGTTTATTTTAATTTTATAAGGATGTTCAGCCCTTTCGTTTATTTCGTTTTATGGAATACAAAAAAGAATAAATAAATAAAAATTCATGAGCAATACTTTGTACAACAATTTTCATTTCTAGGGTACGTCCGAGCTTTTGTCCGAATCAGGCCACATGGCTATTTGTGGCCTGCCAGTTTCGGATACAAAACAGAAGAAATTTACAATTTGGAGGTTCAACCTGATGACAATCAGGATAACAAGCTACTCTAGATCAGGTAAATATTTTACAATTAAGTAGCCATTTATAAAGATGTAGTAAGATAAAGGTACCTATTTCAGCGGTATTTTAACTAAAACTCGAAAGTAGATAGAAAATGAAGCATTTATTGTACACTTTTGAAGTATTTTGATATTTTTTTAAGAATCATAATTGTTTCTACTCTTGATATAGAAATAGCTTTGCCTAATCTAATTCAGAATGTACAAAATGCAAAGGAAAAATATAGGAAGAATAATACTTACTACTCATTATTATACTAAAATTATTATAATTTAAGAAATATGAATAATCATCCCCGAGGGTATACCTCATATATCTATATATATATATATATATATATATATATATATATATATATATATATATATATATTATTTTTTTATTATATATATATAACACTCACGCCTGTCACACAGAGGGGTAGGCAGAGACTACAGACTTCCATTTAGCACGATCCTGACATACCTCTCTCGCCTCTCCCACATCCATATACCTACGCATACATGCTCGTCGGTTAAGGGTACTCTTATATATATTAAACAAGTAAGAAAAACCCTGTGGTTCCCGTTAAGTGCGTTATGAGAATCAATATTCAAACGTATAGAAATAATTTATATTTAAAAAAAAACATTAAAAATTCATTTAATTCATTTTAATAAAAAAAATAATAATTTGCAATTTGCATGTGGTTTTATCATCCCTGCATTGGCCGAGGAGTAAGAGTATTGTCAAAGACCCCGCATTACCGATACTCGTGTGAGTTAGATGAAATAAAACCACATTAAATTTGCAAGTAATTTATATATATATATATATATATATATATATATATTTTTTTATATATATATATATATATATATGTGTGTGTGTGTGTGTGTGTGTGTGTGTGTGTGCATAAGGCGCGTAGGAGTCTGCTATCAAAGATTATCAGTGGCGTTTTTCTATTTTTATAAGGTACTCCATACGTGGATCGTTACTTAGATCTTAGTTCTTGTACTTGTTCACAGTATAAAGACCAATTGGAGTGTGATTGTTTAGCTTACGTATAGGTATTGTAACAGATTAGTCGAGCAAAAAAGCGGCACGGCCGTACCATACTTTTCAAAATTCAGGACATTTCTCCAAGCAGTTCAGGACATTTTCGACCCCTACAACTTCGTTGTGGATAGAAACAGAAACATGAATTTTCATTAATCAAGCAGGTATTGTATAGACACGGTATATTTCAAATTTCATGCAATTTGAACAAGTAGTTTAGGAATTATAATTAGTCAAAGTTTCTTAATTTTGTCACTCACTGATTGACCGATCACTCTCAAAACTCTAAGGCACTTCTAACAGACATAGAAGCTTCAAACTTAGAACACAATTAGTGTTTAGTGTACAAATCAAGGAAAAACTAAAATATTTTTCAATTTCCGTCCAGTTTTCCAAACACACTAACTGCGTAAATAACTTTGTAACCCCATATAAATATATAGGATTACAAAGTTACATTTGCAGTGAATGAATCAGTATACCTGTATATCTTTGATTATATACCTGTCATGTATAATATAATGGAATAAAAGGTGTAGAGAGGTAATTTGTTGGTAATCAAGAAGTAGAAGTTACTCGAAGGAAAAAAAGTAAGACTATCAGCAAAAAGAAATGAGATGCCATCAAAAACACAACTTGTAAAAAAAACAAGTCTACAAGTAATATAGTAATATACAAGTCAACTAACAACTTAGTTCAATCGCACTAAGCAATCAAATTTAATATAAATAGTATTACTTGTGAGATACATTGTTTTTTCATGCAAGGGCCTAAGTCAATCTACTTATTTAAAACATAAAAGATTTTTAATATTGATATGGTCACAATAAGATGTTGTTATATTAGCTAATTATGTAATAACTTAGGACAAAGGGACCCTTAAGTAGGGACTGAATAAATTAACCAACTTGGTATTACATGGATCTCACAACTTTTTACGATAGAACTGAGTTGCGAGCCTTGTTTTTTTTTTTTACAAGTTATGTTTTTGATGGCATCTTTATTACTTCACATTTTAGAATGACTACTTAAAAGTTTAATTAAATGCTGGATGACATAACATTTAAAAAAGGAAAATAAGTTATTAAAACTTCAATATTATGAACTTTTCTATCCAGGGCGTTTAGTTCAGTCTGAGTCCACCTAAGTATGCCAAAGGTATACATGAGTACAGGCATGACCCAGCCGTTACATGCGTGTGTCTTATTTACACCGGACAAAAGGCTGTTAAGTACTTTGATCAAGCGTGCATAAAACACGTTCAAACTGACTGTTTTATACCAGCTTTATCGATACCGATGTTCTGTGACATACCCAGGTATCGATATGTTTCAGCCTCGGAAAGGGTCCTTAAGTTGACGGGCATAGATAAGTCTATGCCCTCAGATTTAGCAACCCTTCCCCTTTCAACATTAAGGACCGCACACGTATCCGTCCCAAGCTCCATTCTAATAGAATTGCTAAATTCACAAGTGATGTTTAGCAATTCCATAAGATGGGAGCGTCTGGAAGCGAATAATTTGAGGTCATCCATATAGAAAAGGTAGGTCACTTTTGTACCTCTTTTCCGAAGTCGAAATCTCCTCCCGGAGTCCTCCAGTAAAGTACTGAGAGGGTTCAAAAAGAGGCAGAACCAGATTGGACTCAGACAGTTGCCCTGGAATATACCCCTTCTTATCCTTATGCGGCTTTCCGCAGCCGTCATCCGCTCGCCTAGGTGACAGAGGATCGTACTCCACTGCCCCATACACTGCTCGAGGAAGTCTCGAACTGTACAGTCAATCTTGTACAGCTCGAGCACCCTCTTTAGTCATGTATGGGGCACCGAGTCAAATGCCTTTCTGTAATCTATCCAGGCGGCGGAGAAGTTCCGACGGTTGCGTTTCACCACTTTGCCAATGACCGCGTCAATGAGGAGTGGTTCCTTGGTTCCACGACCGCCGCCCCGACATCCATTTTGAGCGCGCGACATCACCTGATTTGAGTCCAGGTGACGAGTGATTCTCGCGCTCAAAATGGATGTTAGTGTCTTGTATATGGTCGGTAGACACGTGATGGGGCGGTATTTGCTCGGGTCTGTGGTACCCTGATCTTTAGGAACCAAATGAGTGATCCCAGTAGTGAAGAGGCTCGGAAGCGACTTCTGGTTGAGAGCCTCTTGAAACTGTCGAACGAGCACAGCATGACACACCATGAAACCCTTCAGCCAGTAGTGATGCAGCCCGTCAAGCCCCGGACTTTTCCAGTTCGGGGCCCTACGGACCGCCTCAGCTACGTCATCCGGCGTTATGATGACGGGGACTATGGGCGTAATACCCGCACACTGACTCGCCACAACTTCCGCCCAAGGGCCCTCGTTGTGGTTTACGGGCTCTGACCACAGGCTGCGCCAGAATGTGACCGTGTCGGCTTGATTCGGTACTGGGCCCGTTCCACTTTACATTGGTCGCTCCAATGATTTATAAAGCCTCTTCTGATCACTCTGGAAGAGACAATTCTGGTTGAACCGCGTCGACCACTCGGTATATCGCCGAATCGCTTTCGTCCGATATACTGACCTGAAGCATATCAGTCTGCCGATGAGGGCCCTAGCCTTTGTGATACGTTCTTCAATTCTTGTTCTCCAGGCTGGGATAGCACTACTTTGTCCAGTAGTGCGTCCAGCCGTGGAAAATTTGGCGCCTATAATACGGCAGACTGCCATTGCGGCGCCAAAGATAATTGAATTCGTCTCGCAAAGGTCCCGGCTGGCTTCCAAATAGGTCACCAGCATGTGCTTCAGAGCCCTCACGATAGCCCGATTCCGCTTGCTGAGGGCTATACGGGGAAGTCACGGTCGATTTCCGAGAGGCGTACTGCGCATTTCCGAAATCGTCTCATCCAATGTACTCCCCATTTGCTCCAGTTCCAGTTCCTGGGCGACTGTTCCATCATCGTTTGAATCAATCAAAACTGGGGTATTCACGGCGGCATCCACGTTTGCCGGTTGCTCTGCAAGTTGTGGCGCCGCATCCTCAGCCGTAGCATTTTCATCCGATGAAGGAACAGCCTCACGTCGTATTATTATTATTATTATTATCTCGCACCCAATAATTCGTATCGTTCCACCAATTTCAATTTTATATTTCCACAAATATATTTCTACACATTCTTCTTTGGTAATTGACAGAAAGTAGTCCACAACACTTACTAGATGGTGGAACCATTTCTGTATAGGAGAACCTTTGGGTAGTTACCACCCTCTTACCTATTTCAAATAGCAGTGCCTTCACTGATGTGTTCCGGTCTGAAGATTAAGAGCCAGTAGTTGACAACGACTTTGAAGCCTTCTCTGTTTGAGGTTGCTTGCAGGTGTCCATGGACTGCAGTAGTCATTTCCATCAGGTGGACTGTAAGTTCGACTGATATTTCAGTTTTAAATAAAAAAACAGCAGCGTCAGCACCACATGGCAATGTATTTTCCATAGTAGGTTAAGTATAGTAGACATTTCTTGCCTTTAACGTGTTGGCTTTGTAGTTATATTACTTCTCTGAGTTTTGAGACACTATTTGTTCAAAGTACAGTATTCCGTATTTCCATTCTTATGTATCTAGCACAATATATAAGTCTATTTCCAATCCTTTAGTTTCACGCGAAAACGTACGTCACTAAAACTTGAAGTTTCACCTATTTTTTAAAGCTTAAGATTTCATCATCCTCGCTCGGGCAAGGAAGCGAATAATAATAATATTGTAAAACACTATAAATTTCATATTTTAAGTTCTAAAGAAATTTTATCTAATATATTACAGTATTTAGCGCAAAGCACTTACAATTCTCTGTTTTGTCAATTCAAAACTTTAGTTTCACACAAACATCTGCCGAAGTGGTAAAGACAAAGGCACTTTATATTCAGAACATATTGTTACTTTGCATATGCTTCGCGAGCGTGTTTATCGATTTGAAAAAGAA